TGATAAAAAATCAGCCTGGCAGCAGCATTCATTACAGATTGTAGCATGGCCATTCAGCTTCTGGGAAGACCAACTTGAAGAGAATTACAGTAATCCATGCGAGAGATTACCAGAGCATGAACAAGTTCCTTGGCAGCATCTTGCGTGAGAAAGGGGCATATGCGGGTGATGTTTTTAAGGCGGAATCGACAGGTTTTAGTAACATATTGGATATGAGGCGCATAGGTGAGTCCAAGATCAAAGATAATGCCAAGACAATGAGCTTCTGAGGATGGACTGATGAAAGTACCATAAACTTGCAGGAAAAACGAAGGAGGATGATCAGTATTATGAGGAGGAAAAATAAGCTCAGTTTTAGAGAAATTGAGTTTCAGAAAGCGGGAGGACATCCAGTCAGAGATTGAAGAAAGACAAGCTGTGACACAGTGTAGCACCATTGGGGAGATATCAGGGGAGGACAGATATATCTGGTTGTTGTTGGCATACAGATGGTAGCAGAATCCAAAGGAGTTAATGAGTTTGAGAAGAGAACAGATCCTTGGGGGACTCCAAATGAGACTGGATGAGGGGAGGTGGTGTCATTGCAGATGGAGACACAGAACGAATGTTGAGAGAGCTAAGAGAACCACAAGAGGACAGTTTCACAGACACCAAGGGATTGAAGAGTTTGGAGAAGGACATGATCAACAGTGTCAAAGGTGGCAGAGAGATCAAGAAGAATTAGTTTGGAGAAGTGGCCTTTGGATTTAGCTGTGATTAGGTCATTTGTAACTTTAATAAGAGCAGTCTCAGTAAAGTTGAGGGGGCAGAAGCCAGATTGAAAAGGATCGAGGAGGGAGTTGGAATTTAGGAAGTGAGCCATACGAGTAAAAAAAGTCTTTCTAGAAGCTTTGAGGAAAAAGGAAGCAGCGATATGAGACGATAGTTGGAAAGTATGGGTACAATAGTTTATTGTGCATGTACTATTATATCCTGCACTTGGCATTGAAACCAAAAAGGCATTTTCTTTATTTTTAAATGTCTCATTTAGAATGAATGTCCTCTAGTTAGGTTTTTCAATATTCTTAGGATATCTAATCCACTGGAGATAGTCCCATAATAAGCCAGAGAAAGTCAATGCTACATCAAAATCCAAGGATTTATAGCATACTGACTGCATTATTCTGTTGCTGGATAGTTTTCAAAAGAAAGGAAGCACTAAAGAGGCTGCTGATGCTATAAAAAATGCGTAATATGATTAATTTATAAACTGGTTTATAGCCAATTTACAGCAAACCTTCATGGATACAAGATCTTCTGCAGTGAAATCTTTTTTGTTTGCCTCTTAACATGCAGTAGTGCTATCTGTACATAAAAGGGAAAAACCATGGTAGATCATGTTTGGTAAATGCCATTCTTAGCATTTATATAATGACAACGTGATTAAGTTCAATCCCTAAAATCCTTTTAAAGCGTAATTCTAAATATGGGTATTCAGTAATAAAATGCTAATGTACTATAACAGACTGCTCTACTACTCTATTTCTCTGTATTTCCCTTTGAGGTTTTGTATGGTATACTTATGACTGTTTTAGAGCAGTATTTAGTTGACGTACCACCCTTAACTCCCTCTTGGTAGTTGGTATTCTTTTTTTATTTTTTACAGATTTGTTTTAACATAAAATAAAGTCTGCGCATATATATATATATATTTATTTATTTTTGCGCTTTTTATTTACCTTTTATAGTTTTAGATTGTGTCTTGCCCAAGGACACTTACTGGTAAAGTGCCCTGACTGAGATTCATACCCAAGTTCCCTAGTTCCAAGTGAGATTATCACTGCTCTAACAAGGCAACATCCAGTTCAATAGTGTTGTCTGTTTGTGAAAGCAATGCTATTTTTGCCTGCACAAATTGGTGAAAGGTGTCTGTGGTGATGAATGAAGAAGAATGAGACAGTGCTTTAAAACAGTCTAAAATCTTTACTTTTTATTGAAAACTTAAAGATATGGTGCTGAAAGAATTTTTACCAAAAAAAATCTAATTTCTTTTTAATTTTTTAATTTTTTTATTTTTGTTAAACATTTTAAGATCTTGGCTATTCCAAAGGTTGATGTGCCTATTGCCCAAAGGGTAAAAGACAACCTTACCACTTGCATAGCCTGCAAGCCAATGGATAAATTGGCTGAGACGTCTTTGTGCAGTTTTTTTTATTTTCTTCTTCAAGCCAATTCAGCCTAAATTAAATGTGAGCTTCTAGAGCTTCTGTGATTAGAGCCAGGGAGCACATCAAAATAGCCATCTGTTGAAGGCATCCCAGGTCTAGAGGAAGACAAAAGTATGAAATAAAACTTAAAGTTCATAAGTAATCGGTTTCTGATACAAGTACTTTGGAAGGAAGATTAGCTTATTTTCCTCAATAATGATGTTCCGAGCTGTAAATTGTTTTGGCTGTCCTGAAGTAGATGGCCATGAAGGTGAAGATGTTTGGCTTTCTATGCATAACAGACCATCTAGAATTTCTCAACACTTTTTGTTTTTGTTCCATGCAATTTTCCTCTTGCCTCTGTCATTTCCCCTGTGCATCTTAATTCAAAGTTTCTTTGGATGATTTTTCTAGACAAAGTA